CTCTGTGACATACAGTAATTTTTGAAAAGTTCCTTTTAAATTCACAGTTTTTGCTTGAGAAAAATTCTTGAAATTCTTTTTCGTTCTTGGCTGTCCAAACGCAGGAGAATTTTCACTGGAACTTCAAAATTCTTTAGTCTCTCTTCAGCCGGCTGGTAACTGGTGCCTTCTTGATGTCAAAAGCATTCTTGTTCTTTGATGTTGATTTGCTTTGTTCCCTTGCTTCTCACATCTACTGATCCGAGCTCTATATATCTGGAAAACTAGGCTCACAACCGCCCTCCACACTCATTCAGGTTGTATCTAGAGCTTAAGATGACGTATCTCATTGGTCAGTATATACGAAAAAAATAATATTCCCTAAATGGGAAAAGGATCTCATTTTGGGTGAGGTTTAACCGTTGAGCCGAAACAGATATACAAGTGTAGGTAGCCTTCATAAAAATACACTTCTCTTACAGGAACCGATATTAAAAAGAAAAAACAACCGAGTCGATTAAATATTTATTCAATGCTAAAAGTTTTAAAATAGTAATAATAAAAAAATAATTTTTTTTAATAATTGTTCTAAATTGTTACTTGAACTGCCGAACGGAAACTGTACAACTCGTAAAACACACATAGAAATAAAATGAAATTACCAAAGTTATTGAACGCCAAATAGAAAAAGCAAGTACATTTTATAATCAAGTATAAAAAGCAACAAGCTAGATGATAGTGAATGGAGTAAATTTAGAAATAGGCAAAGTACTATACAAGAGTTTTTGAAAAGTTTGGTCAATAATGGAATCTAGGCTGCTTGAATCTACAACGTCTTCCAATGATCAATATAACAATTTAATTAACCAATCGAAATATTTAGACATTATCAATATTCCAGAAGATTCACTTTATACCTTTGGGACGATACAATTTGGCTTAATTGATCGGCTTTGTAGGAGAGCCTTTCAGAGAATTCAAGGAATCTCAAGGGAGGATGTAGTTTTTGAGATTTTTCAGCAGAGCTGCTAATGTCTATAAAAAATAATTCTAGTATTAAGAACAGAATATGAAAGAAGCTTCAGTAGCATGAATGTTTGGATATCACACCAACATGCAAAACTTCGAACTGATCATCCCTCAACTCTTCTAATTCACCCACAAAATATATGTGGGGACATTGTTTCTAGTGCTGAAAGACGCGTTGAAGAAACGCCATGTAGAAAAAAAAAGAGTGGTTGATAGAAAAAAAAATGGAGATTACATAAAATTATAGAATATTTTTATAGTAGCGTAAGCTGGAGCGTCTGTTCATCAGTAGAAATTTCAGAAATTTACATTGCACTTAAATATGTTGGCTAATCTTTGTAAATATAAACAACATATAACTAAAAATTATAAGGTTGTAAATGTAGACTATTGACTGAGTATTGTATGTAAATATAGCAAGATAAGCTAAGTTGTAAAATATACACTATTATTGTCAAAAAAAATTATGAATCATCTGAAAGAAATTTATTTTACCAAAATCAGTCTGCTATACTTTTCTTTATTTGGCTGAGTTACTGATACAATAATAATCATAGCCAATCTATATGAACTCAAAATGATTCTGCCATTAATGATATTACAAAAACATTCTCACAGACTTTAAAGTACCCTTTAGTTTCCAAAACAAGTTCCACCACTGCATTGTCTTTAAATTAAAAAAATAATAATTGTGCCACTGTTTAAAATTTTTCATTTTTAAAATATGGTAAATGCTAATTTTATACCAGAAGATAATATTTCTTCTATTAATCTTATATATTTATGATAAATTTGTAAAAACATAAATCATTTTAACAGAATATCCTCAAAGAAAATGTAAAATTTGATTTGCATGCGTTATGTGCATGCTATGGATTAGTAGATTAGTAGATATTGTAATTAAATTTTCAGTCCTTGACCATATTAATATGGTCTGTAAGTACTGTCGATACACAACCATTTATCATAATAGTTTTTCATTTGCTATTGCAAAAAACTTCTCTCTACTTTCTGATCTATATTACAAACAACTCTTTTCACAAAAAGTTATTATGACCACCATTATAATTCATAACGAAGTCTTCAATACAAACAAACCCGTGATCGTCACCGTCTTTTTTTTTACCTCATGATTCACCCTTCACAAGCCCCCGGAGGCGAGAGGGGCACTCGAGGTAGAGAGTTACATTTGGAGGCCATTTGTGTGTGTATAGCAGTGGAAGATAACGGTTTACCCTAGCCTTGAACAGGTTAAGATTGTAGTGGTCGGGGGAAAACATCCTCTCGGGAGTCGGTTGCACATGGCAGTGTTTCGCGGGAAGAAGCTGCTCGTGTGGAACTTACTTCCCACCGACGGAATATGGAGTGAATCTGGGTGGTTTGCTACTATGTAAGTGGCATGGCCTCTTCTTGGTGTGAAGGTTTGCCTCAGCGGGACCAGGGAATATAGTTCGTCTAGGCACTTTCCATGGGAGTAGCGGTAAAGCAGCGAGAGGCTTGCCACATTTGGGAGAGAGGTTGGAGGGTAGGGAATAATTCGTCACCCACAAAGGGCTCGGAAATGCTTTTGAACTCTTTCAAGGCTGGAGAGTGAGGTCTGAGCAGCTCCCGCCCAAATATGATAGCAGTACTCTATTTTTGGCCTGATCTTTAAGTTCCACTATCATCATCACCATCATCATCATCATCTCTAAATGAACTATCAATAACATCAGTATTAAACTCATCGAAAAGCTAATTCTGCACAAATTCCATATTTGAAATTCAACGTGGAATCTAAGCGCAAAGATTCATGAAATTCAAACAATAATGTTCTTACTTTTCATGCAGGCCTTAATATTTTTTTTCTCTCTTCGTCTTTTTCTCTTCTGTCATCTGAATTGATCGAGACTCAAATATGCATGGCCAACGTAGAATAGCATTAGTGGAAGTAGACGCAGTCAGAAAAAAAAATATGTTCGACTTTCAAATCTGAAAACGTAGCTCGAGGCGAGGAGCAAGAAGCAAACCTCCGTCAAGACATCAAAATCTTTGGAGACTAATAGCTGCTGGGTTTACGTAGGCTGTCGTCGCTGCAAGCAAAAGGACCACAGACGATGACCAGATACATCTACAAGGTCCTGCCCCAATCAGATTTGCTAAGTCATTTCAGCTTCGACTTTAACAAGATCTTTCATGCAAACATGCATTACAATTTACAAACACCTACACACCAAAGCGTCGACAATAACATTAAGAAAACACACATACACACACACACAGATGTATATATATATATATATATATATATATATATATATATATATATATATATATATGAATGATAAAATATAGTTTTAAGGTATGCTATATTTATGGGTTAACGTGCTCAATTTCACGGATAGAATTATATAAATATAAAAGTGAACAATGAAGTCAACACACAGAGGCGATAATCTGTTAACATTACCTGACGATTGCGTTTAGCATGAAACGGATCGTCGCCTTTCTGTGTTGACTTCAATGTACACTTATATATATATATGTGTGTGTGTGTGTGTGTGTGTGTGTGTGTGTGTGTGTGTGTGTGTGTGTGTGTGTGTGAATATAAGCTTTTAACGTGATAGATTGCCGAGATAACTTAGAGTAGTATAACAAAGTCATTACCTTTTGTGATATCAACGAACACTCATTGCCACTTTTGTAATGTCAACGAATACTCGTTGTCACTTTCGTTGTTTGATTTGGTTTGGTTTATTTTGTTTTACGGCATATCAACCTCAATGGGTTATTTAATGCCGTCAACATTTTTAGGATAGATTCGTATGAATAGAATATGTATTCTTTGGTTTAGATTAATTAACAATCGTTGTAGTAGAGACTTTGTCATCGCAGATTACAACTATAGTAACGCCGTTGAACAAAACTGGTGTCAGACGCCTTCGAGTAAAACTCGCACTAATAGTACTTGCTCGATAATACTCGCTCGAAAAGTAACCACCGAATAGTGATCTGAATAGTAATCCGTAAAGTGATCAGTATAGAGAAATAGTATAGTGAATAGTATAGAGAATAGCGATCTGTATAGTAATAGGAAGCATGGTGGAGTAATGGATAGTAGCATGGATTGAGGAATCGGAGAGCCGAGTTCGAATTCTCGTCGAATCCATTATATTCACTTACGAGCTAATACCTTCGGGAAAGGTACGAATCCTCTTCTCCTCCCCTACAGCTATGGGTAAATAGCAGATCGAGTTCTATAGCTTAGAAAAAAATGGCAATCTACTGCGGGAAAAAATCTGCCTCGTCAGTCATGTAAAGAAAGATACATGATCACCTAAGCGTGTATCACGCATGGCACACAAATGACTGATAGTAATGGAGAATTGAGTGGAAATAGTGATCAATTAGACGCCACGCTAATTACCATATACACATTTCCTTTACGATCACGTGGTCTACTTATTAGACCTACAGCAGTGCTTTGCTGAAAAATGTTCTAGTAGGATGGAATTATGAAGTTGCTTGAAAGATGTCAAAAATGAGTGAAAGAAAATGATTTATATGAGATTCAATAAGGTTAATATAAAAAAATATTTTACAATAAAAAAATATTGACTAAAAACCTAAAAAGCTTGTCTGTGTGTGTGTGTGTTGGATTAATTTTTTCACAAAAACAACTTTACGAGAAGCGACGAAAAGTTTTCAGCCTGATCCATTCCCCAAAATTAGTATTTTAATGTTTGCTTAGTGAAATAGCGATTTTGGAATGTGACCGAGAACTTTTCTGCACCGACTCATATATTTAAAAACAAAAAAGATTTCCTATGGATATGTCTTCAACACTCATTTATATAATATTTGAAAACCAAATTTAATATCCAAAGTAACTTGAAAAATTATTGCAATATGCATTCATCCAAAAAATGATAGAAATCATTAGATTTAAAAAAAAAGAAAAATAAACATAAATGCCTTAAGTTTGTCGTAAGGATATGTGAGTCACGTAAAAGCCATCAGCTTATTACAAATTCTCTCTCTCTCTCTCTCTCTCTCTCTCTCTCTCTCTCTCTCTCTCTCTCTCTCTCTAAGATACACACACACACATAACAGTATTGGACTATTTTCATTATTAGAATATATATGAACATTGTACAGGATGGTCCGAAAGTCTTGTCAACCCTACCAAAAAAGTAATGAGAACAATAGAACAAGTATTACAGTAATACAAAATACATGTACTCAATTTAGTGTATTCACTATCTTTGACGCTGTCACACATCGAGAAGGTCTGTATGAATACGATCATTTCTATTTCCATCTGAACTAGAAAATTATATTATGTTGGGGTGACAAAACTTTCGGAACACCCTGCATATTAGTAAAGAGATGGCTATTTGATAATTACACCTAAAAAGAACCTAATCTCTTACACATCACAGAGTTGTTAAAATTTCCAACAATTTTTACAAGTACAATATTGACGATTTATTAACAAATCACTCTTTGTCCTTTGCCATTTTCTTTAGAGCACGCCATATTTCTTGGCTAATAAAATATTCAATTATAATTCAGAGAAAATGATCCCCAACTTCAGTAAGTAAAATACAAACATTATAATTTTACTAATCCGTGCTCTTCAATTTTGTCTATAATCGTACACGCATGCGTGTGTCGGTACAGATACAACATTGTGCAAATAAATTGAAACAAAATGAATAATTCCGTTATTTACTTTTTTTCCTAGTGTTCCAATGAAACATGACCCAGTGCATATATTAGTACTATGTATGTCCATTCCATGAAGTCGTTTCTTGCAGATTGACCACAGATTCTTGATTGGATTTAAATCGGGAGAGTTTCCAGTCCAGCCCATAGTACTTTGATGTACTCAGTGTTAAAGCTTACCAGTGTGTTCGTGCAGCGTTACAATTTTCGTACGCTTCCTTAGAGTAACGTCCATCGCAGACAATGGCCGTGGGACAACTAATAGACAGTCGAGACAATAGTGATAAAAATCGGATGCAATCATGGATGATGCAATATTTTTCAAGGCCAAACAAATTTCATCATAGACCCTGAAAATAGATTCATATTACTGCATACCACTGCAAATGACCTAATCTGAGAAAAAATAGACATCGATTACTCCGTGTCAATCCAGTGGGTCTAAAACTGACTGTATGATAAAAGAAAGGAAACTAAAGCGGCTGTTTCAATTAATTCGCACAAGGTGTGTATAAATAAATGTTCACAGTCAGTTATAGGCCATGCGTGATACACGCCTAGGCGATCATGTATCTTTCGATACATGACTGACGAGGCAGATTTTTTCTCGCAGTAGGTTGCCATTTCTTTCTGCGGTAGACCAGTTGCCATCCAACGCTATAGAACTCAGTCTGTCCTGCTATTTACCCATAGCTGGGAGGGAGAAGAAGAAGATTCATACCTTTCCCAAGGGTATTAACACGTAAGTGAATGTAATGGATTCGACTAGAATTCGAACTCTGCTCTCCGATTCCTCAATCTGAGCCACTATCCATTACTCCCTCCCTTCACCTATTTAAAATCAACAGGAATTTATTATTTTTAATATTGATATAGATTCATCACGAAGAGCTTATTTGTCAATTTCTGTACCATGAATTCATTTTTTCCAAACTCCAACATTATACAGTGGCCTAAGAAAAGTTTTTAGCCAGGAGAAATAAACTAGATCCAATTTCAAATTTTAATTACGTAATTCCAACTCAACATAAATAAACAGTATTTGGAACTAGTATAGAGTAGGTTTTCCATTTGCTAGTTTCAGTGCTTGTATTTCAGAGTCTTTCTCACCGCATATGGCGACATTTCCATGCTGTTGGCGACATCTTTGACGACGGTTTTTGATGACTTCCCTATTCAGCGCCCTTTTCATTCGCTCAGACACGATGCTTGGTCTTCTTCAACGTTGTTCCACACAAAAATGGCCTTCTTCATTAAATTTCTTGACAATACTATTAACCGTTTGATGATTAACCTGGAAAAACCTCGCAATTTTTCTATTTCACTTGCCACACTGATGCCATCCTATTATTTGTCTTCGTTGAAATTCACCAATTTCCTTTCTTCCGCGAACTTTCATTGCAAAATATAAGTCAACTATCGTTCATAGATGAGAGTAGCTTGATACTAACACGGTATTGTCTGAAAAAAAAGAAGAGACATTATTACACAAGCCAAAATTGAAAAGGGTGGCTAAAAGCTTATCATAGGCCACTGTATGTGTGGAAGTAGGAAGTGTTTTTTTTTTTTGTTTTTTTTTTATTTCAAATGTTTTGGGTGATTTCAATTCTGTGCATGATTAACACATTTACTAATATTTCCGAGATCTGCATCGATTAAAAAAAACTAAAACAAAAGTAAAAAGAATCAATTTTTTCTTAGTTTCTGAGACAATATTTTTGCTACTATTTTTGCTACTATTATACACATTCGAACCAATATCTTCATATTTGCTGATTTTGAGCTATACTCTCCGACCTTCCTCAGGTGAATCTTACATTCAGTTACTTTCTCTGAATGTCGATCGTTGTCCTTTATTTCACCGGCAGAAACACATTGTTCTCATTTGTCTAGCTGTCAAATCTGGTGATTGTGAAATTCGTAACCTTCAATTGTGTAAGTCCGATCTGCCTCTAGACTGACTAGAATCATATTTCTGTATTACCTAACCCCCCCGGGGATTGACCTGTAAGACACCCAGTAGTGATTTTGGGAGTCTTAGATATAATATCGAGAATACTGAACTAAATGAATGTACAGAGAGGTGCTAGAATTTCTTAACCGTTCCAATCCTCAAAATTTGACCAAAATTCATGCATTTTTAAGGGCTTCTTGATCGGACCGAGAACTTTTCGGTACCTCCTCATAGATCAGTAACCGGAAAACATTTCTGATTTTGCAGCGAAATGTTAAAATAGTCCACAAAAATTTGATGATTTACCCTCAACACGCACATCTCAAAGAATACAAGAAGATACAGATATTTCCTTTAATACCATGCAAAGTTTATGTCTAAAGATGTCTATGGTTAAGCGCTTTAAACCTGACATTATAATATATTAACTAGTATACATTTTCTCTTCTCTTCTTTCTAACCACCCTCTCTCTATTTCTTTCTCATTCTCTCTCTCTCTCTCTCCCTCTCTCTCTCTCTCTCTCTCTCTCTCTCTCTCTCTCTCTCTCTCTCTCTCTCACCGCATATATGTATATATGTCTATATAATTCTTGGTCCGAGCCACTTTCCAAAATCAAAATATCAAAGACCAAACATATTACAGTTTAAAAGAAATAATCGATCTTTTTTTCTTTAATTCGTGAAACGAGTAATGACCCTCTCACTGATTGTTTTAAATAAATGCTTGAAATTATTATGTTTATTTGCAATCTATATATATAAAACAGAGGATGTTTGTGTGTCTGTCTGTATGTATGTGTGATATATTTTCACTCGAGATCCATCCAACCGATTTTGACCAAACTTGGCACATACATTATACAATGTAAGAGATCTTAGCGTAAAAATCAATAATTTTAAAAAAATCAACAATCGATAAAGACGATCAAGGTTAGATAAAGACAACTTTTTTCCTCCAATTTACTTCAAACTCGATATGTAGGTTATTTACATCATGACGAGTTCAATGATACCTCATTTTTATTTCTACACCACTGAATTTAGCGAAAAACGAAAAATCGATTTCAACACAAATCGATTTCAAAACAAATTTTAAACTAAAAACTCCCTAAATTTTCAAGCAGTCTAATACAAACTTCACCCAATTGTAGCCAACAATGAGTTGATTGTTTAACAGTCATTTAACTTGATAATTGAGTCCACCCATATAGTGAAAACCCGCGTAAATAGCGATTTTTACTGGTTTCTTATTTTTCGTTATCTTTCAACTAATTTTCATCAAACTTAACGATTGCTTTATAAATGTATCCTCATTTACATCTCTAGTAGCACACTGACAAATTGAATTTCAAAATCTCCAAAATAATTGTGCTCTGAAGTGGGTCTTCATGTTCCCTGTTTTACCCCTTCATGTCCTCGGTTAACTTTGATTGAATAAATCCAGACGACTTCTGTTATATCAGTAACTGCATTAATTCAAAATGTTTTTTTATTAACAGCACTTTAAATAATTGGAGAAGATAGATTCTGTTACAACTAAACATGATGCTGTTTTTGCTACATTCTAATTGAACGCTTTTTCTGATCGACCAGCTGGGTATGGCTGCTAGTGAATAATAAAATGAATCTAACTGAAGCTTAATTCTGAAGTCTCGTTTATTAAACTCTACATTATATCAGATTATACATAAACTAAGAAGAATAAATTATAAAGGAAGAAAAGCAAATTTCACTTGTTAGTTTGTCATATGTAAAAAATAAAAACACTGGTCCCTAAAAACAGAAGTACTACAAGTGATACGCTAACAATAACGTTGCATTCCAATAATACAATTGCTATATATGATTTATAATAACTATGCTTGATGTTCGGCGATAAACTTGATTACTATTTGCAATACAAATGCACAAATCTGTTCAAAAGCAATTGTCGAAATATATTACAAAGAATAAAAGATCATCAGTCCAGAAGAAGCGCCAAAGTCGTTTCCATGACAACTGATTTTTTTTTCGGTTGGATCACGTGATATACGGGTGGCGGGGTTGTTAACGCGGTTGTTCATGCTACCAAACGAACGGCCGGACGAAAGGAGAGATGAGAATAGGTATGCGGGCAGATAAATTGACTGTCCTGAAGTTGCAAAAGGTTAAACCATGTTCGCTATGGTGTGAATGACATTGTTCAATCGGGAATGAGGGGAAAAAGGGTGCGACTCGGTAATGTCATGGAGCAGCTCAGTGGGGTGATTGCTAATTGAGCTCAAATCCCTTAGTGCCCTCGCTTGATACCGGCCAAACACTATGAGATTAACTGTCGATAAAGGCTAACCTCTGCTCAGCGTTTGTCCTTTGATGCGAGTGGCCCGACGGTCGAGAAGGTAGGGGGTCGAAAGTGAATGGGATGGACAGAAATCAAGTAGAATGAAAACACACAAATGACAGCAACAATGGTGATGCGCCTCATACTTATAATAGACAACTAATAAACAACTTTATCCATTAGACAACCTGAAAATATAAAGGCTAAAAATGACTTGCAAGAAAATCATACTTGATATTTGATTAATAAACAAGAAACTGCAGTTGACTTTAATGATTTATTTCTTCGACGAGTATCCTCGTCCTTTAGTATTTTCATAAAGCCAGTTTGGCTTTCATCTAACGTTCATCTAATGTCACTTTCAGTAAGATTAAGCACATTTAATTTCAGTAAGATTAAACACATTTAAAACACCAATGATATCATACCGTTCTATTCATAATATACATGATATTAAAATTGCATATACAACTTGTTTTTTCTTTCAAATATAGGACGTTTATCTATATTAATAATAAATGCGGGTTAGTTAAGAATATTTAGCAAGCAATAAGATGATGTTATATTCAGTCAGTTATGTGTCATGCGTGACACACGTTTAAGCGATCATGTATCTTTCGATACTTGACTGACGAGGCAGATTTTTTCCCGCAGTGGGTTGCCATTTCTTTCTTCCCCATTTCTTTCTGCAGTAGACCAATTGCCATCCAAGGTTATAGAAACCGGTCTGTCCTGCTAGCTGGGGGGAGAAGAAGAGGATTCATACCTTTCCCAAGGGTATTAGCACGTAAGTGAGTGTAAAGGATTCAACTGGAATTCGAACTCGACTCTCCGATTCCTTAATCCGTTACGTCATCGTGCCTCTGATTGCGATTAAATATATCATTAAGCCGGTTAATCTCATTATGGAAGTTTAGATAACTGCAGTTAATTTTGTCAATGCTTCCATGATTCACCAGTTCATCTATAGAACAGTAAAACTGAAAGTGACTTTTGTTGATTATTATTTTTTTATTTGACTATCCATTCCGAATCTAAACGATTACGACTCTCCACAATTTCTAATATCTGTAAACTATAGATTACTTTATCTGTTCTTGGGAAGTATAATGAAGTAGTTTTCTCCTGATTCTCTTCGGTCTTGAATTCAGAATTGTCTTTCTCCTAAATTGGTTGCCATACCAAAGCTACAGAGCCTAGGCTTCCTTGATATTTGTCTAAGGATAAGCCAGGAAGAAGATAGGTTCATGCTTTGCACAAAGTGAAATGCAACAACCTCAACCAGAATTTGATCTCTGCTTACTAATTGCCTTTTCCACCATTATGTCAACGGTACATCATTATTTATTCATTAAAAAAAAAACATATCAATAAAAAATTAAATAAAATAAAACCTTAAAAATATACGATAAAATACGAAAAATAAAACAAAATAAGAAAAATTTTAATGAAGACATGCTGACGGAAAATAACTCAAACATTGTCGTCTTCTTGTAAACTGTAAAATCAAAACGGATAATAATATCTCGCCTGGTAGAGATCATATTAGATATATTTATTAACTGGGACGCATTTAATGTAAAAGATTTTAGATAAATTTGAAATCAGTCAGTTGTGTGCCATGCATGATACACGCTTGGGCGATCATATATCTTTCGATACATGACTGACGAGGCAGATTTGGCAGTAGGTTGCTATTTCTTTCTGCAGTAGACCAGTTGCCATCCAAGGCTATAAAACTCGGTCCGTCCAGCTATTTACCCATAGCTGGAGGGGAGAGAAAAAGAGGCACGGTGGAGAGAAGAGGGGGCTCGGATTGAGGAATCGGAGAGCCAAGTTTGAATTCCATTTTAATCCATTACATTCACTTACGTGCTAATATTCTTGGGAAAGGTATGAATCCTCTTCTTCTTCTCCCCCCCAGCTATGGGTAAAATAGCAGGACAGACCGTGTTCTGTATGGTTGGATGGCAACTGATCTACCGCAGAAAGAAATGGCAACCTACTGCGGAAAAAAATCTGCCTCGTCAGTCATCTATCGAAAGATACATGATTGCCTAAGCGTGTATCACGCATGGCACATAACTGACTGACAATATACATACCGAGTTGGAAATGAAAAACTATGACAAGGTTGATAAATGCTATGAATGCAAGGGAAAAGTTGTTGCCAAATATGAATTATTTACTATCAATGAAATAAATAAAAGTCACAATCTTTGATTTGAAAATATTACGTTTATGAAATAGTAAAGAAGCCACTGTCTTTAAAGCAACCAAAATAAAGAGAATACAGTAGAAAAGCAATGGCATGTTATAAAATAGATTGTCAAGATTAATTTGTTTATTCGTAATGACATTATGGTTGAAACTGGGATGATGCAAATAAATTACAGTATTCATCAATTTTACTCATGACAGATTAAAACCAGTCACTTTGCTCAGAATTACACTGAAAAGATTGAAAATATGTCTACAAAATGTAGCGCAGAAAATTGTTCCAGCGGACTTATTCTCTAAAGTGCATTAATGTTTTAGCACCAATTTACTCAAATATGAAATATGCCACAAAAAAAATGATAATTTTTGTAATTTTTTGGCAGTTAACAGAATTATTAAAATAAGGCTGATATTAAAATATAAGGCATAATATGCGTATCTGCAGAAATTAAAAGTAAATGCCGATTTGTCTTTCATCCAGGCCCGTCGCCAGAATGAATTTACTGGCAGGGATGCGAATAAGAATTTGCACATTGAAATGAATTATAATTTTCAAATTAAATGATTTTTAGCAGTGAGGTAGGCGACAGGTTTACTTACAGCCATAAAATCAATGATATCCATATAATATAAAGATTACCTTCTTGTCCAGACTGATTGAGAAAAAATCGCCGCTACTAATTCTTAAAATAATGGTTGATAATTTCTGTTTCCAATCCAAGTTTTGTAGGCACATTTCTCCCATTCACGGTTTTTGTAATCTGGAAAAAAAAATGTAACAATATTTTGGAGATTTTCAGTGAAAAAAGAAAAATCTTCACAGCGAGAAAAAAAGTGTCTGTTACATTGGAAACCTAACCATCTCTACTCAGCATTACAAAAATGTGTTGAGCAGATAATATTTCTTTTATTGTATAAAAGAAAAGAAAATGAAAAAAAAAACACTAGGACAGGTTGAAGAACACCCAACCAACTTTTTTGTCAAAAATGTACCGTGATTCCCCACGTATAATACGCCTTCATCTATAATATGCACCCCTAAAATTGTGCTGAAAGTGTGGGAAAATGCATAATACGCACCCCTTGTTCGGTAATCAAACCCTATAAATTGTACCTCTCCAATTTAATTACGGCTAGCGTTTCCTACTTTTATTAAAAATGGTTTTAAACATAGAATAATATTATTCTAATTTAGTTTTATGATAATTCATTTTTAAGTATTGTTAGGTACCTACGATTGTATTTGACATCCTTATGGGGTCGTAAATGCCTAATGTTAGTGTCAAATTGTGTGTTTGTGGTGAGTAGTCATTTCGCAACTGAAATCGACCTATCAAACGGCAATTTTTTGAAGATTTTTTTGTAGCTGTTCATAATACGCACCCTTAATTTTGCTTATTATTTTTTAGAAAAAAATGCGTATTATACATGGGGAATTACGGTAATCATTTTACTTCAGATATCAATGTGCTATTTCATGTGAACCGCAGTTATTTTCCTTTTCATCACAACCATATCGAATCAAGTTTTTACAAAGGAAAGTACATAGTTTTTTCCTCCTACCTTCTCATTTCAAGCAAATCTTTTTCGATTTTAGATTAGAAAATGCTAAAACTTGAAAATTATGTAACGCCTAATTATACAGTTTTTGTTACTTGTTATCCAACCAATTCACCAAAATGTGTTCGCGCGTTTAATTCATACATTCGTATCTGTTTATATGTATTCACATGCGTCTGAATAGATACACGCACGTATGCAAAGCCTGATCAATGTTCTAACGCATTCCGAAACATTTTTAACCTTTGTTGATGATTTATAGTGGCTTATCAGTTATAGTGAAGTGTATGAGTGTTGAAACAGATTAGTTTGATTTGGTCTTGTTAGTTAAGAGGGGTATAAAACAAGAAAATCAAATTGTAAAGTGAAACAACACTTTATATACATATAAATCAATTTAGGTCTTTAAAAATAAAATTAATGTATTTTGGTTGATACAAGGGCGTCAAAATGTTTGTAGTAGTCCTTGCAAGAATGAGTTTATGTGTACGTAGACAGGAACGTATGTGTGGATGGATGTATATCTATCTACGAGCGTTATAGTAGGGTAGCAATGTCTTTGAAGTAATCGCTCAGTCTTAAAATGTTCCGTTCGTTTATCAAGTATAAAAGAGGTGAGGAAGAAAGGTAGAGATAATAATAACGATCACTTGACGTTTGTTAAGGGATGTGTTAATACGCTCGTCTCTTTCTCTCTAGTGACAGTCGAATTTACCCGTCTTTTATTTTGTTTTTTGGGCTTGAAAAGGTCATTTGGGAATTCACTCCCGGATATGATTCGGGTCTTTCCATTGGACGACGAACAAACTTCGCGTCGGTTCGTGAAAAGGTTCGTAAAAGAATTTGTTTCTGAGAATTGAAGATTATTTGAATTTTGTTTTTAAATGTTTCCTGGTTTTCTATTGGCCGAAAAACATTTCACATCAAGGTGTGAAATTTCACGAGTTTTGTTTTGGATTCACTTTTGCGTGTGTGTCAAGCAAAGTTTGTAAATTCGAGTCTTTTTAATTTCTAACAAAATCAATGAGTCAGCGCTTAGCATTTGAATTTTAAATTTAGATCTTGTTTTGTTCACTACAGATTATCTTAAAACTCGATTTCATGAGATGAAGAGAATGACATAAAAGGCAGTAGAAAAATCAACTCGTGCGTTTGAATCTCGTGTTTGAAACATGTACAATCTTTTTCACACGATTTTAAATCAAATATATTCTTTGGGGTTTTTTTTTGTATATTTCAGACTGATATGACAATGATTAATAAAAAAAAATCTTTTCTTATAAAAGTTCTCCCTGTATTTGCATAAAATATTACATATAAGTTGGTCATTTTTATTATTATTTTTTCTCTTAAGGTTTATCGATCTGCCTCTACATCTGCAGGCGTGTTGTCCGTCGATCACTCAAGTAGATTAAGTTTGCAAGTGCACTGAATGTTTATAGAGTTTAATTTTTTTTTTATAAGTATAGCATACTTTGCAAATAAATAACTTAGAATTAAGATTTCCCCACTTACGAACGTCGTTTGTACGTTAAGGCAATTGTGAATATGGAAGCGAATCTTTTACCTGTTTGTCAACTGACCATAACACCATTGTTAGTAAAGTGTATTTACAGTTTATCAACTCATTACAAATTATTCTTTGCGTTGTCTTGTATAAGTACTCGTATATCTGTACGGCACAAATACGAATACACAAATGAAGTAACACGTAAATTTCATCCTTTTTCTTTTCTCTTACATCAATAGAGCATCGAGACATATATATATATATATATATATATATATATATATATATATATATATATATATATATATATATGCGTGTATGTCTTATTCAACTGGGAAGACACACACACAAAAATATATGGTAGTAAACGCAAATAAAATGAATTATTGTATATGTGTATAGTCATTCAGTAGAAAGATATTAACGTTAATACGTCTTTTTATTCTCCCATTTTCTCATTATCACACTTTCCATTTTTCATACTCTCTTTCTTTCTTTCTCTCTCTTTCTCTCTTTCTTCCTCTCTCTTTCTCACTCTCTCTCTCTCTACAACCCCTCTCTCTCTCTCTCTCTCTCTCTCTCTCTCTCTCTAAATAGATTTTATATTTGTACATACACATTCATTTTGTGTTTAATTTTTCTCATTGTTTCCTAATGATACAAACGCAGATGCACAAATATTTACATGAATTTATGAAGATGGCGCTCATATCATTACCGCTTGATTTTCTTTTAATTCCTTTAGACTATACATTCGCCCTTCAAATTAAGAACAGGTCGATGCAATAAAAAAATAATCGATCGCACAAAATGCCCTCAACGTACAACACTGAAGCAGCAGAGAATTCAAATTTTATAAACTTGTAAAAATAAAACAATTTTTTCTTCGACCTTTTTTCTTTCTTTCTTTTTTTTTTTTTTTTTTTTTTTTTGAAGAAAAATATTTGAAATGAAATTTGCATATTTGCATCGTAAATTCTCCATCGTCTTGATTACTGATTTTTAGCATTCAACACATCTCATCACATTTCCTTCGGGCTTTACTGTTAAAGTAGAAAAATATAAATAAGTTTCACTGTATGTATCCGTTCCTACACAATACACATAAATAAATAGAAAATGTTAACACGCTTTGCGACTTTGCTTTTATTTATCATTCACTTTCTCTCAATAGCCATATATATATATATATATATATATATATATGCACAGTTCATCTACACATTGTACACCATTTTATATCTGTACCCATACGTATCGGTATAATTTTTATCTTCCAAATATATTTACCTCTTGCTTTCGTAGTTTCATATATATATATATATATATATATATATATATATATACACACATTTGTTCATTTATATACATATATACAAAAAAGCGCACAAACATACCCTCATCTCGTAGCACACGTATACACACACACACATATATATATATATATATATATATATATATATATATATATATATATATATATACACACACATATATATATATATATATATATATATATATATATATATATATATATATATATATATATATCGACCTCTAAAATATGCATAAAGATATATAAAAATGATTTTTCCCTGTTCTTCAATGCTTACAGCTATGGACCTTTACGTTTCTTATATGCGATTAACTAGACGAAATAGTTTATAATTTGCTCGAAGGATGGAGCAATTCCCTGGCCTCTTCGACAGTAATTCTCTAATTGCTACCTTGTTTAGACACTTTATAGTTTACATACCTTTTGGGAACATATTTTCAGATCTTTCTTATACACTGTGAACGCTTCATTGATTCTCGAAGCTGTGCAACCCTTGTCGTAAATTGAAACAACAAAAATTGTCTTTTTATGATATAACGCTGTATAAAAATAAAATATGCATTTTATGGCTGCGTTGTAACATGAAGAATTTTTTCAAGTGACGTCATATTAGTTAGGCCGCAAGACATTAAATAGACAAAATATGGGGATTAATCTTGTCCTTAATTATTACTGCATCGCTAAATACATTAATGAACAATAAAAAAAAAACTTATGCAAATGAATGTGTAGAGCTTTTCCATCAATTATTTATAAACTGTAAAATTTACAACTTACCAATTTAGAATGGGAAAATGAATTTACTATAAGTATTAATATCATTATTCTTCTAATTGTTGCTATGCAAGCAATTAGTAAATGATGTGGTAAGTAGTAATGGGGGAATAAATTCTAAAAAGGAAATGACTTTTGACCTCAATTATTGCTGCTGCTGCTGTTGCTGCTGCTGATATTATAACAAAATTGTCCGTTCGTTTCGACGATTCTCACATTTTACAACACGACGGCCATCGATCAGTTCAATTAAATGTTCGCACAACATGGAGTATCTTCTTCATTACCCACGACCTACATGAAGAACTTCGCTTTCGTGTATCTATTGTTAAAAATATGATATATTTTAGGTTAATGACAAAGGGGGAGCTAAAAATGGATGGCAGTTAATGACACATGTTGGGAAGGATAGACGCACGTTGGATGACAACCACGTGGTCTTCAATGATTTAAAATAATTATCCGCCATAAAAAAAAAAAACTATTACAGGTGGGCTTTCATTAACAGAATCGAATGCAAGCAAACAATATAAAATACAGGAATAAATAATAATTTGTACAAAATCAAGAAACGTGTTTGTTTACATATTTACAAAAGTCGTACATGCATATATATATATATATATATATATATATATATATATATATATATATATATATATATATATTAATGCATGTTTCATTAAATAATATAAAATTTCCACGTAACGACAAACTTGTATATACGAGACGCGGAAGCGAAAATCGCGTCGTAGCTCGTGACGTCACGCATGACCACGCGAGAGTGAAAAACGAGAAGTATTAAGTATGGGAATATGCGAGTTTGTCGTTACTTGGAAATTTTTATGCAGCAAGGGCGGACTATCATTGTTGTTTCAGCCGTGTGTTATTTGATTTGTTGAAATTGTCATCTTTGATAATGGCTTGTGTAAGCCGAAAGCTTAGATTGGATTTAAACATGTATCAATATGGTGTTTTCCTTTCGTCTCTCAACGATAATGTGATTAAGCTTATCAGACAATATTAAAGGAACTTACTTAAAATAAATAGACAAAACTTGTCTATATTATTTAATGAAACATGCATTAATGAAAAATTGCTTCCTAAATATACACTATATATATATATATATATATATATATAAAGAACAGTAAGATATATAATCCGGTGTTCTTATTGATATTTTTTATTTTTACAAAACAGTGCTCAATGTAAATTTACAGAGCATAAATATTATAAATTAACTGATTTAAAATATGTTTTGTCGCTACACAGTAATAACCATGTTTCAAAAATGGAAGCTAAAAACTTTCAATTTAATTATATAATTAAATTAAAAGCATTAGTTGCGTTTCATCTTCAAGCGAATATTGGAATATATATATATATATATATATATATATATATATATATATATATATATATATATATATATATATATGAGAGAAAATCATAGAAAATTATGTTTAAAAACAGTATAATCGACCTTGCTAACCGAACGCTCCTTTGTGGCCCAATCGGTTAAGACACGTCAGGCTATATGATGGTTTGATTCCTGTCGGAGAACGCATATATATATATATATATATATGAATGAATATTTAATACTTATTTGTTGGAGAATTGTATGTTTTATAATTGTGTGTAAAATATATAGTCATGTGTACATATATGTTGAGAGACAAAGGTCAATCTTTGGGGACACTAAAATCAAGCATGTGTGAAAATTTAAATATCTGGGAAGTGTTTTGACAGAGGACGGCAAGTGCGACACTGAGATCCAAAGACCTATTGGGATGGCCAAAGACGCATTCTAAAAGCTAAGTAGAGTATTACGAGACATGAGGATTTCGTTGTTAAGAAGGAAAAGAGTACGTGATACCTGTCCTCCTTTGCGGCAGCGAATGTTAAACGGTCTCTTCAAAAATGATGCATAGACTCGAGGCGACCGAGATGTGGTTCTACACAAAGATGCTGAGGATATCATGGACCGATCGTGTGAGCAATGATGAGGTCTTGGAGAGGATACAAACAAGGAGGAGGCTTATACTTAACATCAGGAAGAGGCAGCTGAAATTTCTGGGACACGTCATGAGAAAGGAGGGCCTGGAGAATCTGATACTCACAGGTCGAATAGAGAGAAAGAGAGACAAGGGGATCCAATGCATGATATTACCTGGCGGATAAGTGAATGACAGAACGAGATCTGGGGGAGGTGGCAGAGGGATGAAACTTATTGAGAGCTACAAGGGATAGGGGGAAGTGGATCGCCATGATCACCTACGTCCTGAAAGGACACGGCAAATAAAAAGAAAGAAAAGAATGTGTGTGAATTTTCAAAGTTAAAAAAAAGGTTGCTTGATGTCGAAGGTGAAGGAAAGCAAGAGATCAATTTTTAATTCCTATTTCCTTTGAGAGGAAATGAACCGATAAACAGTTAAACATCTTAGCTGCTCATCACAGAGAAATGTCCGTGAAATGACTGTCTTAGATTTTGTTAGCCGCCCTTAAGTCTAATGACTAACTTATAGATTACGTGCTTTTTGTACTTTTTATTTTTAAGAATCAAAACTGTGATATTCAAATTTTGACTCCTTATTTCTTATTGACTGAAAAATATCTCTTGGCTGTCACGTGATATGCTTACCAGTACGCCAGCCAGAAGAATCACATAGCATGCTAATTAAAATATAAGAATCTTAAACAGAATGTTCAGTTTTTTAACACGCGTGCGCGTGATCGTCATTTTGTACAATATTTTATGGATATGTCTTTCGTTATTATGCGTGGGCGTAATGAGAGCCCGATATCTTCAGGATTACACCAAGATGATAAAAAGGATTTTGGGGGAATTCTTTTAATAGCGTATGAAGGTCTTATAATGGCGTGGTCAGTGAACGGTATGATCACACTTTGTTGTCGTCGTAGGTGTCACTTGAAGTGTAAACGTGTTTTTTCATCTACTGGTTATGGTCTTCACTGGTACTGTTTTCTAATGGTTCCAATTATTACTGCTTTTTTCTTTAATTGTTTTAGCATAAGCAAGTTTCAATCGATTGGCTGAACGTCTGTTTTTACCATTCTTTTCAATAAACATAAAATCTTATCGTGTCTTTCCAATAATTTAAAAAATCCTGATTAATTTGGAAAAAGTGATTTCTTGACCATTTCATTGCGTAGAAATATAAATAGGCATGAATAATGGCCCTTAAGTTAATCGGATTTGGTAGGTGTGTTCCTAGCCGTTCTAAAAGATAATCCGTTCATTTTAACTTTCAAGTTTGCTAACGAATTCTTTAGAAGGATTCGGATTTCGTCTAACTCAAAATATTGACCTGCAATGACCGAAGAGACTTCAAAAACTATGTCCGGGTTTGTGCAGTTTAAGTTAAATTTCTTGTGTTTCTGATAGAAATTTATTTATATCATTCGCAGACAGTACTGTTTCGCAGCTCCTCGGTGCAAATAGACACCCGAATGCTT